CAACGTTTCTTGTTTTCCTAAGCTTATTCAGTTACAGAAATCTTCCAGTCTGTGAGATTTTTTTATTTTTTTTTAATCTCACAGTAGTTTACTGAACTATTACACTTTTTGTAAGTGATCTTCTAGTCTGATTTAAAAAATAATTGCAATTCAGGTCTAGTACTTCCCATTAACATGCACCCAAGCTCTACATGTTCCAGATATTACAACTGAGGTGGTAAAAAGTTTTCCCTCTCTGGGGGGAACGACTGAATACTGGTGTGTTGTGGTTTGTCAGCCAGCATCTTTGAGTAGTGGTGTAGTAGCTTGTGTGCCAGCACCTTTGAAGAGTTTGTTTTGGGAGTTGTTAGCTTATTGCTGTGTACTGTACAAAATTAAGGGCTTGTTAGCCATCGCTCTTGTGGAAGTGTGCTGTAAGAATTTAAGGGCTTGTTGGCCAACACCTTTCCAGTCTAAATAGTGGGCTGGTTGCCAGAGTTATGGCAACTGTACAGTAAGTTCCCAGACACGTGTCCAGTGTCTTTGCTCAGCCTGACAAGGATTTATAATGAACATCATGCCCCTGACCAGTGGGTCAGGACAGCTGCCCCTGTCAGCAGCAACATGGTGGCAGAGGCCCATCCTCTGATGTCGTGGCGGTGAATGGGAATGTGGGAATGTGGGAATGTGGGAATGTGCCTGTTCAGGCTTTGGTGGTCACAGGCTGCTGACAAGACCTACTGGAGCCATAGGGCAGGTGTTGGAAATGGCTTCTCCATCCCTGCTCATGCTGGTTCTGTGGGGACCTTTCCCACAGGTTGTGCTGGGGAAGGGCTGCCCACTGCCAGCAGCCCTTGCCCTGCTGCCTGGGCCCCCCAGGGAGGGTCAGCCCACCCCTCTCTGTGACAGTGCTCAGCCTTGAAATCTGTATCTTGGCCTCCCTGGAGAGCTGGCTGCTCATGTGAAAGAGCACCAGGACCAGCGCACTCCATATACACTTCTTCAGTCTCTTCTTGTTCCTCACCACTGCTGACCTCACGTGGTCTCTGAAGAGGCAGATTGAGAACTCTCAGATCTCGCTGCTTTCCTGGCAGGAAGGAAGAAAGGTGAGCTTCAGAAACCCAAGAGTGTGCTCAGGGCTGTATCCCTGGTGAGTCCAAGCTTTGCAGGGCCCTGTGGCCCTGTCTCCTGGAGCAGTCATCTGGGCAGCAGCCCTGCCAGGGAGAGCGGCAGGGAGAGGGGCACAGCATGGCTAGAGGGTTCCTAGGCCTTACCTGCCATTTGGAATAGCTGTCCATCCATTTGCTCAGTATGCAAATCCTCTCCGTGGCTGCACCCTGCACCTCAGTTCTCTCATACCTTGTGAAGTCCAGCAGCACTTGAGCAAAGAGAAGCTGCTGCTGAGCCCCGGGAGCAGATACTCACTCCAACAGCAGCAGCGCAGCTCTGCTCCTGGGTGGGACTTGCACTGTCCCACTGTCCCTCAAGGCTTTCTCTGACCTTGAGCAAAGCCTGTAGCGGGGCTCCTGCCTCTGGGGTCCCTTGTGGGCCCAGAACAAAGGCCCTGGGCCAAGCTTTGGCTCACCCCCACAGGGTGAGGAACAGCCCTGGGACTCCCACTCTTTGCACAGGCCAGACCTGCAAGATGTTCTGCAGCTCCTTGTCAATTCTTGAGGGAGGAGTGTTCCACACTATTGCCTTCAGCATGGAGTCCATGGCTGCCAGGGTCTGCAAGGAGGACAGAGAGCGGTAGCAGTGATTCTTCACCCCCAGGAGACTGATCTGAGCTCCCAGTGCCAGGGAAGGAGAGGTGCCTGTGCTGCCCTGGAGACACCTAGGAGCAGGCAGTCTACTGCAGGTAGAGCAGCCTGCAGGACTGGATGTGGCTGGGCCCTGGGAAAGGGATGACAGGATGAGGGCAGGAAAGCAAAGCTGAGACCCTGCCCTGCCTTGGACCTCTGGTCATGGGGCAGTGCAGGATGGCCAGAGAGCAGCCCAGAGGGACTGGTGGCTCCTGCAGCTCACCCAGAACTTACCTCCTTCCTAGGCTTCTGTGTCCTCCTTACTGATATGTTTTCTTTAGGAAGGAAGAGAACAGCTCTGAAGCAGGCTTCTAGGAGTCTTCTCTTTTTGCCCTCCAGCACCTTTTCCACTGGGCTGCAAAGAGAAAGGGCCCAACTGGACAATAGTGCCGGGGGAAGCGCCTTGAGGCCTTGTGCAGGGGGATGCAGTCCTCTGGGGAAGGGCTCCCTGGGAGTGATGAGTGTGTCCCTCAATCCTTCAATGGCTTCCACACCTCTGTGTGCATCTTCTTACAGGACTGGGCATCCAGTAGCATCTGCAGAGCACAACTGAGCTGGGACCTGGCAGCTACCAGCACCCAGTGCCACCAGACCCTAGTCCTGCCCAAGCGCTGCCCTCACAGGGTGCCAGTGCCAGGAGGCTTTGCCCCCTTCCCCAGAGCACCAAGTGTCCCCTGACCTGTATCCTCTCTACCATCTCATATCTGCAGCAGAAGTGGACCAAGTGCTGTGATGAGCCACAGACTGTGGTGTGTATGCACAGATCCACGATTTTCTGAAGAAAGGTGACCTTGCGGCCCACATTCTGGCAGCCAGGGGACAGAGAGACAAACGGGAGTATGAGTGGGGGGAAACATGGCCAGTGAGACTGGAACTCAGCAATAGGACAAGGGGGCACGGGCTTAAGCTCCGCCAGGGGAAATTTAAGTTGGATATCAGGAGAAAATTCTTTACAGAGAGAGTAATCAGGCATTGGAATGGGCTGCCCAGAGAGGTGGTGGATT